TCATACTCTCAAATCACATTTACAAAACACAACCAAACGCAGGCTTAATTTTTTAATTATTTTAATTTAAAGTTATAAAGTTTTATTTGGAATAAATTTTTTATTTTTTTTTAATTTTTGTAAATGAAAAAAAGGTACAATTTTTGAGTGATCATTCTCTCTAGATAAGTGGTTGTTAATAAAATAAAATATTATATTTAATTTATAATTATTTTATTTTACTTCTTTTACAATAATCAAATTATAAAAAAAAATCAAGGGGAATTTATCAGAAAGTCCCATATGGCGAAATTGTGTTCTATTTGGGCTCACAAATATTTTGTTTGATTAGGTAGTCCATGATAATAGAAATATCTTACTGATAACTTCTTTTTTGAATTACATTGTTATGTGAGGGACAAATATACCCTCACATCAATTATGAGCTGTTATGATTTCATTTTTTTTTATATGTAATCCCACGTTTGGTGGGGGTGGGTGTAGGTGTGATAGTGTATTCCATTGGTTGAAGCCTCAGCCACATTCACCGTGATGGAGCCGGAGACCATGCGGCGTATGTTCTCTGGTGAACTCGGTCCAGTTCACGACTCGACCCGACCTTTCAGCTCATGGTTTTTTAAGTAAGCACTGCACTGACAGTAGTAAGTATACACTGACTGAACACACACACACACACGCACACATTTTCTCTCTCTAAAAAATGGCTATGTCCAATTCGATCTTCTCGTTCCTTCTATTCCTGTGTCTCTCTTTGTTGATCATGACACGTGCAGACCTGCCCAGAACGTGGGAAGTGGTGGTGGCGAACGCTGGCATTGCATCAATGCACACCGCCGTGACAAGGTTCAACACCGTAGTCCTCCTGGACCGAACCAACATCGGACCATCACACAAAATGCTTCGAAAAGGCCACTGCCGCAACGACCCGCACGACCCCGTGCTCAAACACGATTGCTACGCGCACTTCGTGCTCCTTGACCTCCACACCTCTCAAATCCGCCCCCTCACCATCCTCACCGACACTTGGTGCTCCTTCGGCCAGTTCCTCCCCGACGGCACTCTCCTCCAATCCGGCGGCGACCTCGACGGAGTCCCACCGACACTTGGTGCTCCTTCGGCCAGTTCCTCCCCGACGGCACTCTCCTCCAATCCGGCGGTGACCTCGACGGAGTCCACATTCACTGTGATGGAGCCGGAGACCATGCAGGCCGGACTACCACGTCGACATCGTCCGATCGACCCGAAAACAGAGTACAAGACGATGATGAAGGAATCGGGCTGATCGACGTGAACAATGGGTACAAGATGATTGTCGTGAACATTGGGCACAAGATCGACGTGAACAGTACTAAATCCGTTTTTTAGAGGGCCTCTTCTGAATCGATCGTGACCGGTTTGAGTTCGATCGAGGAACCCCAGATCGACGTGAATAATGGGCACAAGATGATCGTCAATCCGGCATGTCGGCGTACCACATCGGCATCGTCAAATCGACTTGAAAACAAAGTACAAGACGTTGATGACGAAATCGGGCATATCGATTATTGATTGCCTAAATTTAACAATTTGTGTGTATATATATGTCTTTTATCGATTCTTTTTCTAAACTTCTCATTAATTGAATGGCTTGATCACCTGATGGGTTCTGTGAATAATGTTTTCATATATTTTATGTGGTATATATATGTATATGTATACAACTGATATAAAAGAAGAATTTGTAAGTTGTTTACATAATCATAATTGGAGAAAGAATTGTGTATTGGGATTGACCAAAATTGTTTCTTTGTCAAATCTCTTTCCTGGTTTTCAATGTCAACCAATGCATGCATGCTCTGCGCCCTATGCGGAACTCGCCGAAGAACACGACGTTGCAACATGTTTCGACATTGAATTCGCAATCCTGGGCTTGCTTTAGTAATTTAGATCCATGTTTTTGGGTTATGTTGCAAACCCAACCAATGGTAAGATTCACGTCGAAACGTCACAAATGGCAATTGGAAAACAAAGGGTCAAACTGTGGGAAAGCCGAAATGTGACACAACCCACGTTACAGAAAAAAAAAAAAGTGTCAAATTACTTGCGTTCACGTCACAACCCACGTCTCATGTTCTGAGTGTTACACACTTACTAAATTAAAAAAAGCATTAGTGTGCTTTTTCGATCAGCGTGACATACAAACACCCATTCACCTTGTCCCATACAAACCCGCACCAAATGTCAATCAATAATACTAGCAGTGGCAAAACTGTCAACAAACAAATTAAGGGACCACCCAGTCATTAAGAAAACATTCAGGACCTTATGGATTACAAGTCCACAAAATGGGATTTACTGGTCAATTCCCCTAAAATCAACCAACTTTTCAAACATAACTATTTTGACTAAGTTCAAATAATTAAAAAATTAAATAGTTAACTAAAATAATCAATTTCTCAAACAAAGTCATGTACTAGTTCTCTGAGGATGACGATGTTTATCACAACTTCCAATTGTGTTATTTTGCTTTCGTTTGACATAAATTAAAATTTTTGGCTAAAGTATTTACAAAAAGATAAAATAGACTTTTCAATCCAATAAGATAAAATATCACATCCAAACTATAATCATTTTATTTTTTTTTCTTACAAAAGTCAAAAAGTCAATTCCAAAAGAGACTTTTTAATCACATATTAAAATCGTCAAAAAGTTAAAAAGCCAATATACATCCCAAACTAACCACTTGAAAATTGACTATATTAATTGATTTTTTATTTTTTATGAAATAATTTATAATAAAAAATAGAAAGAATGATTAACTTTTTTATAATAGTTTTTTAGTTTTAACTAAAATAACCAATTGTCAAAAACACCCTTAAGGCTTCGGGTAAGGATAAGTTATTTTGGATTACCAATTAAGTATTTACATCATTTTATTTATTTTGTTGCACTTTATTTTTGTAAAAAATAAAAAAAAAATTAATGTATTTTTTATGCGTGATATACGTAGAGAAAATGAACAAATTAAATCGTTAAAATAGGATTCATGATAGTCTTACGAACTCAAATAACCATTTGCAACTTAAATTTTAATTTGAGAAATTTTTTTCTTGCATGATATTATCAATTAATAAAAAGTCGATGTGAACCAAAGTTGAATTTGAGCACCAAGCTGGTCCGGTGTAAATTGGAGACCCAAAAAAAACCATAAAAGTGATCAAAAGCTCCAACCAAAGTTGAATTTGAGCACCAAATGGGGCCATGAATAGGACTTGTGAGCACAATTACTTATTTGGGAACTTGGGTTTGAGATTTTTTTTTTGATTTTTTCTATTAAAAGACAAATTTTTTGCAAAATAAAAAAAAAACACATCAAAACAAAATATTACATTCAACCTCATAATCATTTCACTTTTTCTCTCACAAATATCACATCCAACCACAAAAAAATCTAATTATCTTCCTAAAAAAATTTTTATCTAATAATATCCTACAATTAAAAAAACCTAAATAAAACCCACTTCCCAAACACCCACATTATTAGCTGCAATTGTAGAGAAGAAGACTGGAGATTTTCAAAAGCAAGGAATGAGAGTAAATTGGGAAGCCAAAAATTAGGGTTTTTTTTTTTTAAATTTTTATTTTTGTAATTAAAATTCACAAAAAGATAAAATAAATTAAAATAGTTAATAAAATAAAATATCATATCAAATTCATAATTATGTTATTTTTTTCTCACAAAGATCACATCCAACTATAAAAAAAATTCAACACTCTTTTTCAAAAACAAATATTTTAGCCTACTAAAATAATCAAAACTAAAATAACATACTAAAATAGTCAATTTTTCAAACGAGGCCTATGCCACAGATTCTCTCCCTTTTTCTGTCTTCCGACTCAACACAACATTGAAAACCCCTCACTCATTTAAACTCTAGAGTAAACTATCAATTCCCATCAAGTCCTATTCCTATTGTAAATAAGCCCTAATACAATCGTCATTAAAAATGATTTTTTGTGATGATTTTTTCACATATGTCGCTAAAAATTGACAACTAGTGACTTTTTTTGTCATAATTTTTATAACTTGTCGTTAAAACTTACAGTTAGTGAAGTTTTACACATATGTCACTAATTGTAAGTTTTAATGACAAGTAAAAATTATGACAAAAAAAGTCACTAGTTATCGATTTCTATGACGATTTTTTCAAATTATCCCTAAAAGTTAAAAATTAGTGACTTTTTTGTGATGATTTTTTTAAACTGTCATTAAAACTTATAATTAATGATTTTTTGTGATAATATTTTCAAACCGTCATTGAAAATTAACAATTAGTGACTTTTTTTAACAGTATAGAATAAAAAATATCATTGATTATCATATGATCTATTAGACAATAAGTGGCCTCAATAAAAACCTAACACATAAGTCTTCTCCTTTACTCTATGACCCTAAATGTGGACTTCACCCTTGCCTAGGCATTATGCAATTGGTTGATGTTAGATGTTCCAGATCTTTAAAACATGGGAAAGATTATGGCACACATCTTTCAAAGGATATACATCATATGCACATTATAACTAAAAAAGAAAATGATATAATTTTATATTTTTTGAATCATAATTAATATATATATATAGTAACCATACATTATATGAGGTATAACAAAAATCTTGAAATAATATCATAATTAAAGGGAAAAAATGACGCAACTAAATGTGCATATGGTAAAAAGTGTGTATAGTAGAATTCTCCTTAAAAACATACATATAATGATGTGGTATTAATTTAAATTTAAATTAATTGATTTTTAAATAAATTAATAATATTATTAAAAACAAATTTAAAAATCGTTTTTTAAGAATCTTAAACATTTTTGGGCTGCCACGATTGGTCAAATGACCTGACTTCAAAGATAAGAGTAGGTATACACAATGTGCTAAACTGTTTCAACAAAATCAACTTATTTTTTGAAAGTTTGTTTGGACGTTGATTAAAAATTAATACCTAGGGAATAAACAGCATAAATGGGACTATAGATGATGCAGACTGTGGACTCACTTTGCATGTACCGTCATTCATACACCATGGCGATTCCGTTGTCTAATAAATTTTATTTGGCACGTTCATAGTTTTTTAAATAGAAAGGCTCTGTTCGGTAAGAATTAAAGAGGATTTTTTTAGTTATTTTAGTCACAAAAAATAAAATAAACTATTTTAACTATAAAAAATAAAATATCACATTTAATCTATAATCATTACATTCTTCTCTCACAAAAAAGTTAAAAAAGTCAAAAAGTACTTTCCAAACTAAACTTTTTAGCCCAAATTAAAATAATCAAAAAAGTCAAAAAGGCAAAAAGCTAATCCACTTCTCCAACGAAGGCAAAATGATTTAACAATGGGTAGGAGAAGAATAAGAGAAGGAGATTTGAACCTGGGCATTACGTTGAGTAAGAAACACCTTATCTACTAAATCATCCTTAGACTTATTTTGGGAAGATGGTAAAAAGTGATTTTTTGGCTTTTAACCAAGCTTTTGGATTTTTTAGACAAATAATTTGGGAAGTTGGTAAAAAGTGACTTTTGACTTTTTTGATTAATGTTTGTTTATGATGTCAAATCATAATAAAATGACCAAATTACCCTAATTTATTTAAAATATTTACGACTTCACCTATGTAACACGTTTTGACCCATGAGGGTAAAATTGTAATTTCACCGTTGGCTAAAAACCAACTTCTCAAATGAAAAAAAAGACAAAAAAGTCAACTTTTGACTTTTGCTACAAACAAAAAAAAGTGACTTTTAGCCAACTTCCCAAAATAGCCCTTAGTCTCGGCACGTTCACATTTCAAAGGAGTGACTGTATTTTATTTTAATTTTCTCTTTTGTTTATTGTATGCTGGCCTCGTAACTAGGAATGGCAATGGGGGACAATGGGGTGGATATTAATTCCTTATTTCTATTCCCTTATAATAAATTTTTCCCATTCTCCATTCCCCATGGATACCACCCTCCCCATTTTTTAATAAATATAGATTTTCCCTAACCCACTTTAATCCCCATTTTTATTTTTTATATTTAATGTTAACAATCACTTTTTGTTTTTTTTTTTAAGGTTCACAACAAAAATTAAATATACCTTTAATCTTTTTTCTTTCTTTTTTAATATATTTAATGTTAACAACTTATTTATTTATTTATTTTTTATTCTTTTAAGGTTCACAACAAAAGCTAAATATACATTCAATATTATTTTATTTTATTTGGTTCAACAACAAAATCAAATACACATTAATTAATTAATTAAAAAGTTTGTTTTATAATAATCAAATATATAATTTTGAGACAATCAAATAAGTTTTAGTAATTGAAAAAAAAATGTGGAAGAATGTGGAAGATTAAAAAAAAATTACAACCATCTCTCTCTCTCGCACTCTCTCCCCTACATGTTATAAGAACTTGTTTACAATGTTATAAGAGCCTATTTGAAGAAATAAAATGTGAAAGAATCTGTTTGAAGAAAGTGTTATAAGACCCATATTAAATTGCATCAGGACATAAGCAAGGAATTGTTTGTTGATCTCTTAGCCACGAACATTTTAGACATTAAACCATCTTTCTCTTAGCAAATTTGAACCATTCATTTTAATTTATCCAAAATCTAATTATACCTTTAACAAATCTGAACCACTCATTTTAAGATATCTATGCATTACCACACCCAATCCATCCTCCATCTTCTTCCTTTAGTCCCCCACGAATTTTGTTGTTTGTTACTTTTAAAAAACAAAAAATATTTTTTCAATTAAATTTTTACTAATTTCAAAACACCGTCACCACTATTCTCACTTTCACTGTCACACTACCATCACCATAGCCACTACCATCATCACTGCCGCCATCACCCCACCACAAGTGAAAAAGTAAGTCTATCTTTCATTTTCTTCTCAATTCATGCACTTCGGTAGCTTTCTCATTTTTGAAAAAAATTATCAAACTTACTTATTTTCTAAATCTGATTATATGGGATGATATTTGAGGTGTGTAGAGTATGTCAAAATTTCAGTAGCCCCTAATTATATGTTTTTATCACCTAAACAATTTTATTTTTTATTTTTTATTTTTTATTTTTTATTTTTTATTTTTTATTTTTTATTTTTTATTTTTTATTTTTTATTTTTTATTTTTTATTTTTTATTTTTTATTTTTTATTTTTTATTTTTTATTTTTTATTTTTTATTTTTTATTTTTTATTTTTTATTTTTTATTTTTTATTTTTTATTTTTTATTTTTTATTTTTTATTTTTTATTTTTTATTTTTTATTTTTTATTTTTTATTTTTTATTTTTTATTTTTTATTTTTTATTTTTTATTTTTTATTTTTTATTTTTTATTTTTTATTTTTTATTTTTTATTTTTTATTTTTTATTTTTTATTTTTTATTTTTTATTTTTTATTTTTTATTTTTTATTTTTTATTTTTTATTTTTTATTTTTTATTTTTTATTTTTTATTTTTTATTTTTTATTTTTTATTTTTTATTTTTTATTTTTTATTTTTTATTTTTTATTTTTTATTTTTTATTTTTTATTTTTTATTTTTTATTTTTTATTTTTTATTTTTTATTTTTTATTTTTTATTTTTTATTTTTTATTTTTTATTTTTTATTTTTTATTTTTTATTTTTTATTTTTTATTTTTTATTTTTTATTTTTTATTTTTTATTTTTTATTTTTTATTTTTTATTTTTTATTTTTTATTTTTTATTTTTTATTTTTTATTTTTTATTTTTTATTTTTTATTTTTTATTTTTTATTTTTTATTTTTTATTTTTTATTTTTTATTTTTTATTTTTTATTTTTTATTTTTTATTTTTTATTTTTTATTTTTTATTTTTTATTTTTTATTTTTTATTTTTTATTTTTTATTTTTTATTTTTTATTTTTTATTTTTTATTTTTTATTTTTTATTTTTTATTTTTTATTTTTTATTTTTTATTTTTTATTTTTTATTTTTTATTTTTTATTTTTTATTTTTTATTTTTTATTTTTTATTTTTTATTTTTTATTTTTTATTTTTTATTTTTTATTTTTTATTTTTTATTTTTTATTTTTTATTTTTTATTTTTTATTTTTTATTTTTTATTTTTTATTTTTTATTTTTTATTTTTTATTTT